GCATCTTTATCTATTAAGAAAAAACTAAGGAATGAGCTCCAAATTTTGCCATAGATAGCTGAATGAATGAATGAATGAATGAATGAATGAATGAATGAATGAATAAATAAATAAATAAATAAATAAATAAATAAATAAAATACTGTGAGTTTTCCCCACATTCTCACAAACACCCTTTGTCATAATTTAACACTTTTGCACCATTCTGTACCAGTTAATATTCAGACTGTGGTACATTGGTTACATTTTTTAGGACGGTGCCTGTTCTTTATATTTGGAGAGCCTGTTATAGATACCTTAATTAAATGCTGCTGGGATTAATAACTGTTTCACAACTCAGTGGCTTAAAAGAAAAACAGCTCAGTTGTGAACTGTGTTCAGTCCCTATAATCTTCACTGCGATGTGTTCTCCCCTTAAGGACCATTGGTAGACTTGAATTGTTATAGAATGCTTTGGCCTAACATTCAACTGTACTTATCTTGTTTTTCCTCTTCTGAGGAGGCTAAACGTGTTTATTGCTCTATCAGCTTATGAATATTAAAAGCTGTTTTATGTCAAGTTAATCTATGTAGCCAAATGAACTGGCAAGAGCTCTGCCGTTGAGCTCTTTTCCTATCTTCCACCCTGGAAAGCCACTGCCAATCAGGGACCTGACGGTGGCTCTCCCATTTGCAATTCTGCAGATGCCAGAAATTGCTTTCTGTGTGTGGCAGTAAGGCATATATTCTATCTCTCCCCCATATTCTACCCCCTGCAGATATCCTACGTTTGTACAGAGAGGCATATCATTGCTGTGTGAGTGTCCAACAAGGAATAAAGAATAAAACATCTGAGTTCTGTACCCTGAAAAGGGCAGAGACCGTCTGGAAAGAAGATCCCTTCTTCTTTGCAGCCTTTTTGCCCTCTGGAAAAGAAGAAAAGGGGGGGGGGAGGACTACAATTAGACACTTTTATCTGGGACTTAATTATTCTGCAGCACAGGTAACTAACGATAGTTATATCACATTGGTTGTGTTTCAGTTTGTTGAGCAAGATATATCAGTTTATATGTATGTGATGCTAGCTGTACGGACTGCAGCTGGTGAGGCAGGGATTAAAGCCAGGCAACATTATTAGCCCAACTCTGATCAGATGTCAGCCTTTCAGGTGGGAGACAGAACAATTAAGATTCTGTTGATCTGAAAAAAATAGGAGGAAAAGGCTTAAGATTGAAAATATTCCTTGCTCTCTCATAGGCTTATCTTCCATGTATCTATGACTTGTTTCATGTCTTTAGTATGAACTTCTCATGCTACATGCAAATGCTACTCATGCTACATCCAAATGTGTCTGCAGTTAGTTACTGCATGTGGGCCAGGTTTCTGAAGAAAGGAGTTTTATTGCAGGGACTGATGTGAAGTCTGTTACTAAACCACACTTGGTAGGTTCACCCGTCATGCTAATCCAAAAACAGTGAAGCGTACTGTGGCTTAGCATGTTTGAACCAGATCAGCTCATCATATTTACTTGCATTTATTTGAAGGTTACATATTTGGAGTTTTTGTGGGAGAAAATTAAAAGTGTAGTATAGGCGAAGAGATTTCAGCATGACACCCAGTGGGTGATTTGGGGTCAGTGTGGGTCATTTGGCTAGTCTGTCTCTCATCCCAATCAAGCTCATAGGGTTGTCATGAGGATAAAGCTCTCAGAGAAAAAGTGAAACATAAGTACTTTAGCCAATGTTAATGTTACGGTAATTTATAGAACATGGGTTAAGGTTGTGCTGAAGTATGGGCTGAGGGTCTTTAGGAGAAGCCAAAGGACTATAAAGACTACATATGTATTCAGTTTTATTTGTTAAGCAAGTTTTAGGAAATATCTGATTGGAGCTATGTTAAGGCAGACTGCACCACCTTTTGGGGCTGATGGGCACATTTGAAAGGTTGAGAATGTGGACACTCTTGCGAAATGGCTGTTGGGGGCTTGCCCATTCACAAAAAGCTTGCTACTGGGGACATAATCATTTACAAAGTACCAATTTATCAGAATGGTGTCTTCAGGATCCTCTGGACATCAAGTATAAGATATGTGATTTTTCAATCTTTAGGTTTACGAATATGAGCTCCTTGGCTGGGCATTCCCTAACCTGTATAGAAAATATTCCTTAAGCTTACAACTATAGGCTGCCCACACAGCATACTGAACTACAAATTAGCGAACCACATTTCAGCCCACTACATTGTATAACCCAGCCCTTGTGGCTAGTTTATGGTTCGCTCTAGCATGCTATCCCCCCCAAAAATGGATAAACTGACTAAATTATCTAATTCATTCCGTAATTAAGGCTCACTTTATCTAGGTTGTAAAAATGCACTAGATGGCAGGAAAGAGATGCAGAGAATCTGACTCTTTGCTGCCATTTAGTGTAGATATGACACACTACAATATTTCAGTGAGAACAATGATCCTGAATGTCACAAGCTAAGTTGGTTATATCACAGCAGTGATATGTTGTCTACCAGCTAGATCTTTGCTCATTTGACTTCTTCCTTGCAACTTCCATTATGTGAAGAAGGGGGACAATGAGAAGAAAATACTATTCAAGGCTAAAGATGGGATTTTTAGCTCAATGTGCAGTGTCAAGCAATCTGTTCAAAAAATGTAAAAAGAAAAACACTGGCTACCATTGCACTACCTCTGAGTGTGCATCTGGGGATAGTACTGAAGTATTCCTTACACGGGCAGCTGTTGTTACTCCTCAGAATGATGTTTATGAATCTGTTTCAAGTCCTAAGAATTACCTTCCGCTGGACGGTCAGCAAACAGTAAGGCCAGGGTCTTCATGGAAGATTTCTGATACAGACCCACCACCGTTTCATTGAGGGGGTCCTTGTTCTTGTCCAGCCAGCCACTGATGTTGTAATCGACAGTGCCGGCATAGTGTACCAGTGCAAAGTGAGCTTCAGCTTTCCCTTTCCCCGGCTTTGGTTTCTGGAAATTGTTGCTCTTGCCAAGGTGCTGGTCATAGAGCTTGTTCTTGAAAGATGTGTCTGTGGCCTTGGGGAACATGCACTCTTCTTCCAGGATGGAGAAAATGCCCATGGGCTGTAAGGCAATGAGAGAAAGAGAAGTTGCCACCACATGGACTCTATTGTTATATATTATCTCAAATAATGTCATAGTATTGGCCATTAGAGCCAAAAAGAATGGCTTTCTCTTGATAGCCTACCTATGAAGAAATATCATTAACAGAACAAACAAGCATTTAAAACATCTTGAGTAGGAAACATTGTAACAAATACAGCTGCACCATAAAGACTATAGTTATGCTCGCAAAACTACAGCTACAACCAGGGGTACAACTTGCTTATGCCAAGACAGTTAAGGATCATTAGATGAAATTATGGCAAGTTTTGACAAAGACCTTCTCAATGAGTTCAATGCAGGCAGCCAGGTCCATTCCAAAGTCGATGAACTCCCATTCAATTCCTTCTTTCTTGTACTCTTCTTGCTCCAGCACAAACATGTGGTGGTTGAAAAACTGTTGCAGTTTCTCATTGGTGAAGTTGATGCACAGCTGCTCCAAGCTGTTGAACTTGGGGGGAAAGGGGAGCATTTGTTTTAAAAACACACAATGTATTATCTGTTCTTAATTTTGGTTTCCAAATACTTAACTATAAAGTATCTTTCATCTGTATGTCTGCATAAAACCAGTGTTTTGCTGACTTATAAGAACTTTTCTTCTGATACTGAATTAAAAACATGATTATTATCCTGAAAGATAGTTACAGATACTATAAGCAGAACTCATACTAATTTTTGACTGAATAAATTTGCTATATGTTTGTTTTAAATGCCTTTTATTTTCTCTTTTGTATTTAGAACTTTCTTTCTTGGTCATGAGTTTGCTAGTACCTTGCAGAGCTTTCTCCAGGTTGGCTAACTGTTCAATTCTGAATATATCTGCGGTCAATTCTATGCTTATGCATGTTGCCACAGTTTTTAAAAGTCTGCTGCAATGTTTTTTCAGTTGGAAATTGCAAAAAATTACAGCCTACGTTAGGAACTAATAAAGGCATTTCAGAACAAAGATGGCACAACAAAAAAGAATTAGAAAGACTGGATAACAAAAACCAGCTCCTTGGTCCCAAGGTTTCATTTCCTTACATCAAAAATCTCGAAGCCAGCAATGTCCAGCACACCGATGAAGTACTGTCTGGGTTGTTTGGTATCCAGTTGTTGGTTGATACGTATTACCATCCACAAGAACATCTTCTCAAAGACAGCTTTAGCCAGAGCACCAACATTATTATATACCTAGAAGAACAGGATATATACACAAATTGGTGACATATAAAACATAGAACAAGCACCTAAGGAATGTATTTAAATATCAAAGCTTTCCCTTTAATTTTATAAATAGTTACCTGCTGGACAGTTTGGCCTTTGGTGACAAATTCATTGCCAACTTTGACTCGGGGGTAGCACAGAGCTTTCAGCAGGTCTGCTGAGTTGAGATTCATGAGGTAGGCAGCCTTGTCCGCCACTGAGCAGAGTCGTGAAAGAAAGATATGATCACTGTGCATTAGAAAGGCTATAATTCAGAACTCTTCTAGAAGATCAAAACAATCTTGTCTTCAAACAGATTCTATCTATCAACTATCTATCTATCTATCTATCTATCTATCTATCTATCTATCTATCTATCTATCTATCTATCTATCAAATTTATATGGCCATCCATC